GGTAGGAAATGCAAGTTAAAACAAAATCAACCTCAAATTGTATTAGGAGTCAATATTAAAGCAATATAACATGGTATATACAGTATGTACTAAATCACCATCTTTCCCAGTTTTACTTTCTTAAGCTATGTGAGTTACTTTCTCCAGCTCGCTCACATTTCATTTGTCAGGGGTGAAAAGTTTAAATAATATGATTTATGTGTTTATAGTTAGTTTAGGTTTTCCACATCTGATAAAGAGCCGCGTACAGCCGCTTTTCTACATCTCACCAGAGTCGATTTTTATTTAAATGAAGACTTTATTCTATATTTTGACTTTTCTGTTGCAATATTATGAGTTCATTCTTATTAACTTACTTCTTTTCAGAGACCACTTATGTTCTAGATTTGCACAAAGTTTTAAACATGAGCAAAATGATTGATGAAACATGTATGAGCTACTTAAGTCTAGGTTCATAAATTATTTAAAAACACACGTATGTATTACCTTAGAATTATGAAGTGCCACATGCATGTGTAAAGTTTCTTCCCAAAATTAGAGAGACAAGAGCAGACGGATGAGAAGTCACCTGTGTTGACTCACCAGGAATAACTAGTTGATAGACAGTTGATCTACAAGTATGATCTACACACAATGTGTGTCCCTCCAAAGCCCTCGTGTAAATTGAAATGTGTGAGTTATTTGTTACCAGTAATCTCTTTTTACACACACACTTATTTTTTACATTCTTAAAACAATTCATTTGAGAAATTGTAGGTTTACTCGTCTAGATATGCAATACATAAGCTCCATTAAATAACTTATAATACATATAAAATCAGCAATTATTTTTAATGTACAATTATTTTGGGAGAAAACTCTTACATTTGAGAATGTTCCCGAGATCCTTAGCTTTAGTTTATCTTTTCATTTCGCTTTTTGGGAAAATAAATACCTACTGGGAACCTCCTCCGCACAGCTGCAGAAGGAATGCTGCGCCTGGATCTTCGTCTCCATCGCCTTCCTGCGAGAGCCGGCCGCCCTGGGGGGGGTGATCTCCAGACTCAGAGCCGTGGTGAATGGGTGTGATAAGGCGGGCTTTGGGGACTGTGCAGAAGACGCTCTGAAAGGAGAAGAGGCTCCTGGGCCTGGATCTAACCTGGCGCTGCGGTCACAGAGGGCACAGGAGAACGGGGAGGAGGAGGGCCCGCGGGGGATCCGGGTCAGGCCTCGGTCCCCGTACTGCCGCTGGGCCCCGCTGTGGTGCACTGACCGCTCGCGCTTCCACACACAGTGAGAGGACACGATGGCCATCACCTGAAGGACAAAGATGGGGAGACACAAAAACATAAATACAGCTCCATCAGAAAAAACTGAGATTGAGCTTCTGGCTTTAAACCAAAGCTATAAAAATTGCACTGCACAGCAAAAACAAGACCCTTAAAAGATTCCCGGAGAAAGCCCATCTATCACTCTCCTCAGGCAATTACACTGGTGTACCTCTTCGCAGCAGCGCCTGCTGACGGCAGCTCTGTACCCCACGCGAGCCCACAGCTTGTCTCGCTGCTTGAGGAAGCGAGGAAACTGCTTCCTCCAGTTCTTGCCCAGCGCCCATGGAAAAATCTCATATTTACTCTCCTCTTCATCCTCCTCCATGGTGTTGGCAAGATACCTAGAGAAGGAGCACATGAGCGTGTTCACTTTTATATGAGAATAACAAGATAAAAGAACTAATTGTGCTGGTTTTTCTTTTGAAACTTACAGTGCAATGAAAAAGTTCTTCCTGGTGTATTCAGGAATGGTAAAGTGAGCCCGTTTGAAGTACACAAATGTCATGGCTAGAAGGTACTGAGGAATTAGGGAGAAAAGTTGTAGGCAGTTAATTGTAAGCCTCTTAAAGCTATACAGATATTTTGTCACTTTTACAAAAAAAATTACATGAGAATGTACCTTGTCAGCCATTTTACAGCAACAGTCCATACACAGAAAGTCATGGATCACGTTGTCATCTGTAAAAAAAAAACATAATCTTTTTAATATAAAAAGTGAAAAAATTGAAAATGGAGGGAAGGAAACAAAAAAACAATACGAAATGCCTACAATTCTTAATTATTTCCAGTTTAAAAGTAAAACACTGAATTCATAATATATGTTTTTTATTTGGGCTGCTAATTTACCAAGAAGTCTAAAAAAAGAGGCCATTTCCTGCCGTTGGATGACAATAGTTGGGGGCATGACCATTTTGGCATCCCGCCGCTGGCTGGGCTGGCTTTTCCCCGGCGGGCCCTGGCCGTCATGGCCGTTGGTTCTTTTGAGACGGAGTCCTCTTCTGATTTGGAGAGGGTTCGTACTGCTGGGTTTGACTCCGACAGTTACTGATGGAGTAGCCTGGCACCAATGGCTTGTGTGCTTCATCATGTTTTAGTTCAGATCATCTGTGGTATGGTGTGTTCTGAGAGGTACAAGGTTGAAAATGAACAGTATGAAAGTTGTTCTTAGCTAAAAACCAAAAAAAAGTTTCTTCTATCTGTTAAACAATAATGTTTTTAAATGTTTTCTTTATTTTAATAAGTATATATATTGTTCCTGCTTGTTGTCTTTTGCAGTCATTACAGACTACACCTGAACATATCCACCCTTTAACATCATTTTAACATGTGTGACATTGTTTTACCTTTAATGTTTGTCATTTTATTTGCTTACTCTATGATATGTTTTATGTATTAGGTGCAGTGATAGAAAGTACATTTCTTCAAGTCCTGTAATAAAGTACACATTTTAAGTACTTTTACCAAAGTATTATCAGTTTATGGTACTTTATACCTACCAAATCTTTGAAGCAAATGTTGTAACTTTTACTCCACTACATTTATTTGACAGATTTATTTACCACTTACTTTATAAATTCAGATTTTGATAAGCAATGTATATAAAACTTTCAAAATATGATTATTTGGTATAGATTAAAGCATCCAACATCACAGTATATTTAAGTAACTAGCCATGAGTGGGTTAACAGAAAATCTAGTATTTATTTGGCTGCTTTTGATTTAAAATATAAAAATATTATATATTGTATTTTTCCTGCCAGGAGTACTTTTACTCGTAATACTTTAAGTACATGTTCCTAATTTAACTTAGTAAGACTCTTGATGCAGTACTTTTACTTTAAATGTAGTATTTTTAAAAGTGTGATATTAGTACTTTCACTCAAGTAAAGACTCAAGAGTACTTTTTCCACCACTGATTATTACGTAGGTTTAACCAAGATCCTGAGGTTCACCCCATACATATCAAGCTAGCTGTCAGCCACCTAGCAAAAAAGCTAACAATTTCCAGCTTGAAAGAAGCTAATTCAAACTTTAGCTCGTGTTAAACTTTATTTCTGAACTTTCTCTGGGAAAATAACCTTGGCAAAGACAGTCTCAACGTTAAACACACAACTTAAAATGTCCTAATCAAAGTCCTTACCTTCGCGGTTATTGCTTTTGGAGTCAGTGAATGGAGCAGTTTAGTAATAAATGTATGTCAGCTTGACTTGAAAACTAATCAAAAGTCGACGGATTTCAGTGTTAACAACAGTGTGAGTGACACAACGGGGCAGAACAGAGTAGCGCCAAGAGATAATATCCCCGAGAACAGGAGAATATACAAACAACGTTTAAAAGCTAAACTGAGAAATAAATTGGTCCTCAGTTGTTAAAGTGACCAGAGAGGATGATAGTTTGGTAACGCGCTTCAGGATGCGCGCCAATCGTTCAGCAGGACACCTGCACGCGGAGACATGATAACCAATCACGTAGCTCTCCTTCTTCTTCTACGTCAATTAATGGCGAAACTACCTCAACCATAAACCATCTTAAAATGAATGAACATGAAACAAAATACAGGAATGAGATAAAGACACAAATCAGTTGAAGATAAAACTAAAATAACAAACTAATATAATTTGCAATAATGGTGTATTGAAAAACGCAATATTTATCTTTCTCTAATTTAAATGTTAATCATTCAGATTAATTAACAGTTGACACTTGGTTGGATTAGTTTGGTCTATATTTTATCATATTTGTTTCATATTTCAGTAAATGATATATTACTGCACAGAATGAAGAGACAGAGAGGCCATGGAATTGTAAGGATTTGAATGTGTGTTTAATGAGCATATACTGATAGAAGTTAGCAGCCTCTGCAAATGGAGAAAGCACATTTTTATTGTTATCCTTAAACGATAATGCATTTCATGGTGAGAAAGAACCAAAATGTAGACAATGAAACATATTTTATTATTTTCATATTCTTAATAATTGTTCCTTTTTTTCCTGTTCATTTGAATTCCTTTGTGTGACAGGATTTAAAAATAAAAAGGCCCAAAAGGAAATGTTACTATATGTTTTAATTTTTTAATTTTAGTTTAGATTACTTGCTGTTTTGGTCAACAAATGCTAGATATATAAATTAAAAGCAAACCAAACCTGCATATCACTGCAATTGAAAATAAACACTTTCACATTTATTTTGGCATGGCCCTAGAACTAAAGAGGGAGATATTGTTTTGCAGGCTATAAAAAGCCACCTGAGGCCAGCTCTAATTAAGCAAATGAGCTTATAGTCTTACCAGTAGATGAGTTTTACATGCTATAACGTGACATATGCGCATGCTGAGGAGTTCACAGAAAGCCCCACTAATCCGTTCAGCTGTGTGTCCTTTGTAAGACAGAGAAGGATGAGTTTCAGAGCACGCTTCATGGATTTTTTTATAAAAATGGCCATCGAGCTCTGGATTTATTTTGCCTATTTGACAGGTGGGAGAGATTTGTAAAATGGAAGTATCAATATTTATTTTTTGTAGCATCCTAGTGGAGAGGGATCTTGTCGGACTTGACAACCTCAGCCATCTGAAAATGTCAGATACAGCAGGTGGCTAAGTACCTTGGCTATTCTTTGCATCATTCACTTCAGTGCGGAGTTGGTGTTTCATCAAACACACAAAAATCGGCTTGTATTTGAAGATATCCAAAATGGGCTGCTCACCATCCAAAGGCAACCATTTTGGGGTTCTGGGTCCCATGAGGAAGGGCAGAATGCTTCCCCCTGCACCTCAAGAAAGCCCCAGAGATTCCCACTTTGATGATGCAGAGAAGCGTTATTCAAATGGTTCAACAGATGTGGATACAAAGGAGAGAAAGGCAGCTGGACAAACCCAGGTACTTCAGAAAGAAGCTCGTATAACACCACAAAAAAAGAGATATGTGACAGAGCCAGAAGCAGTAAACATGGATAAAGCGGGGAGTCAAGGAATGGACAACAACACAGTTTCACAGAAAAAGGACAAAAATGTTGACAAGCAGGATGCAGCAGAAAAAAAGCCTGCCAGGAAACAAAAGAAAAATACCAGAGGTGTTAAGGGGCTTAAAAAGAAAGACAAGGAAAAACCACCTACAGAACAGAAAGTGGACTTCCCAGAACCTTTGGTAAAAGCTCACCAAGCTGCTTATGCCTTTTTAAATCCTAGCATAAACAAATATGATCTTCTACTAGGACTTTTGGAAGAAGCAACCCAAACTCAGGTTTCTGTGCAGACTATGGTTGCTTTTATGGCTCTACGCTACGAGGAAATAATTCAGGGTCTTGAGGAGATGGCAGATGAGGGAGAACAAGTTTTTAAAGAAAATGGAGAGCATCTTTCTTGGCCAAGTCAAATAAAAAACCTGTCATCTTCCCCACCTTCAAAGTCTGGTTCTGCTAATATTGAGCCCCCACCGGATTTGTTGCAGCAGCTGCTTCAGTACACCACACAGAGAATGCAAAATGTAAGCCAGACTGTTGGCGGTATTGGGGAGTCTGCTTTGGAGGAGGCAGTGGAATATTTTGCATCTGTCTCAGAGCTTTTAGAGGAGAAACTAAAAGTTAAACGTACAATAGAGACCAGGCTAATGCGAGTCTTGTCTCGTATTGAAATGGCCTCTCTGCGCAAGCCTGGGCCAGAGGATTCTGCTCTCTTTAGCGAGGACAGTGGTATTGGGGCTGAGAGTGAATCCCTTGCTGGATCTGAAAGACGCCTTAGACGAGAGAGTTGTGCGTCATCTGGGACAAATAGAACGACTCCTGTCAGCCCAATGGAATACAGCTCCATGAACAGTAGGCAAGAAGCATCCAGGCAAAAGATTGGAAGTCAAATAAGTCCAAGTGTTTCCCTCACATCACTTAACTCACTGGGTTCAGCTTGTACCATAATGGCTAATAACAATAGAGACTCATTGCTAGGTTCAGTCTCCTTAGATTTTGGAGAGGATGACGACAATGATGACGATCATGATGATGATGATGAACAGATAGGTAGCTGCATGGTAGATGTAGGGTTTAGAAAGCGATCAAATTCTTCACCTTTAAACCGGGAACAGCTACAACCACGCCGTCTACCCCCAAAGCGAATAGAGAATCCTCAAAATGTCGAAATGACTCTAAGAATGAAAAATGCTATAAGTGGTAGGATACAATTTGTCCCATCACAGAATGCTGGTGCCAAAACCAAGGTAGTTGGCAGCCCAAAAACCAGTAGACGCCAGTGGACGGACGAAGAAAGGTCTCCGAGGAGGCCTCAAACCACAGCACCTACTCGGAAGGCAGCGGTAAAAAAGACCCCTGTGTCTAAAGAGCGACGTTCCCAATCAGAAGAATCCTTGCGGAGCAAAGCGGAAGATCCTACTCTGCTTGAACTAGAAAGGACACAGAAGGATTTAGATCAGAGGTTGCAAAGAATGGGTAAAAGCAAGCCAGGAGGAAACATGAAGACTGCCCCACCGAAACAAAATCAAGGAACCTCACCAGCACAATCTCCAGCAAAAAATCGCAAACATCCCTCACTACAAAAGAACAGCAATTCCCAACTAATTGATGACAAAGCAGTCCTTACAAGGCGCAACAGTAAAAAACTGGAGGCAGCAAGTGTGGTGGAAGATGATAAACTGAAGGACAAGAAAACATCTAAGGGTCCTATAAAAGCCACCCCACCCCCTAGCCCTCCTGCATCACCACGGCCACCTTCAGGCCTCTACAGAGGCAGGAAGTCAGTGAAAAGACTGATTGATACCTTCAGTCAAGGAATAGAGGATCTAGAAGTTTCTAAAAGTCTTGGGCCTCTCATAGGAGTAAGGAAGTGTGGCGTTCCTGTGTTACCGGGTTTAGGGAATGTAGAAGCCGTGCTGAGCACCGGAATAACCAGCTGTAGACCTGATTCCAGGTCATTTGAGAAAAACAATTATTTAGATCTGGATAGCCTTCCTCCACCTCCACTGGAAGTATTAATGGACAATTCCTTTGAACATGCCCAGAGTCTTTCATCTGGTGTATCAGATGAATGCGCTACAAAAGTCGGAAAGTCACCTCTATTAAAAAGGGTTCCAGTATCCCAACGACTGAGGGCCTCTGTTCAGTCAGTGCTGCCAAGTAAAGGAGGGCTTCCACAAACTTCCAAGGTAATTTCAGTTGATAGACCAGATCAACCCGATGCATCTACTTTGTCAAAGTTCAGCCAGCCAGATGTCCAAATGGAAGCAGACCCGGGAAAGGAAAATGATTCCTTGTACCAGCAAGAGAAGAAGATCGTACACCTAAGAAACTCTTCAGACTCAAAAGGATTGTCAAAAAATTATGTAGCAACAAACCTATCTTCCAGTCAAGAAGAAACAGCCGACATACAAGATGGAGGCAACCTTTCAGTGCCTGAATCTAACACTACAGTGCCTCCTTACACAGTGGTAAGGAACCAACAACCAGCAACACCACCCTTGTCTAGGGGGCGAATGTTACCCTCCACACCTTCTGCAACAAGCAGTGTACATCGAAGACTTCCCAGTCCCCATAACGTCAAAAGACAACCTACTCCACCTTCTTCAGCAAGCCCACCTGTAAACAGGAAACTCTATACACCACCATCATCACAGGGAAGACTTTCCAGCCCTCCTGTAACAAAGCAGAACTTTTTAAAATCAAATTCATCCTCCTCCTACCCTTTCAAAGCACCTTCTCCACCAGCTTCGCCAAAAGTACAAAGATGGTCAAGGGAGAACAGCAGTGAAGATTTAACTAGTAGTCGGATGCTCAGTAATGCACGTTCAGTCTTCGGCCCTTCATCCCCATCCCTGTTTGAGGCCCAGCCTTGTCCAGTTCCTCATCCCCCTCAAGCGTGGACCTCTACAAGGGTTTCTTTTCTCTCACGTTCTTTTGAGAATCGTGGGAGGTTTCCTGTGTCTGCTCAAGGACCTCGATCCTTTATCCGACGTAGCCATTCGGACCGAAGGCCAAGTCTGAATCAGCCACCAAGATTCCCAGGCATCTTGGTGGCTGAGACTTGTGGGAGTGAGCCATCATTAAACTCACAGGGGTAAGTGTTTATGTTTATATGTTACACTTTCTAAATCCTTAAATATAACTTCTCATTCAATCTTTTGTAGTGGTTTTATTTTACTTTTTTTATGGTAAAGTGTTGATTTCACTAGCTCACTGTTACATTGCTGAGTTACCTCAAACATTTCTGATGTACAGAGTTCACATGTAATTGTAATGACATGAACTTTTGATGCCGATCAAGAGGCTGGTGGAAGTTATCTTTAGCTTTATGCACATAACATATGAAGAGTACATTGGACAGTTTCGCTGTACTTAATTTAGACAGAAGTATGACATGCTCTTCAAATGTAAAGACTATACAACAAGGATAAAAGAGATATGTCCCCGTATTTCATTCTTTACACTACTGATTTTGCAGTTTCCATGTCTGTCAATAATGCATTATTGTACATTTTGAGTATATCAAGAACGATTTTGTCAACAAAATGTATAAAAGTGAAAGTGTCTTATTTTAAGGAGATCCAGCAGTGTCTCATTTTAATGAGTTTCACACCACGTTACATAACACAGTGACTCACTGACTTCAGGCATTTCACAAGCTAATCCCAGTCATGCACCCTTTCTGTTTATAAGTGACACAAACTCACTTTGGCCACCTCCCTAATTGCTATTGACAACATTCTCCATTCATTTTTATAGGCTGGACGATGAACTAACCAGATATGAAGAACAATGGGGGAGCCAATCAAACCTAAGAACTACACTACGCTCTGCATCACACCCGGACCTGTGTGTTGTTGGACAGGCCTTGCACATAGACTAAAGGAGCCAGTGGGATTATGGATTAGTAGGCTTAACCAGGGATTTAAGAAGACGCTGTTTACGCCACTGCAGAGAGGAATAGCTAATTATATCCACACATAACACACTTACACTGTTTATATCTAGTGTAGTGAAAAGGTGTGCATCTTTGCATGCATTCGTGTGCACTCTGCACATAATTATGCTCTTGAACTGTGAATGGGAGGCGTGTGGCATAGTGGGTTGTCAGTAGGTATTCGGATCAGGGGGTCACAGGTTCAAACCCCACTGCAGTCAGCATGTCGTTGTGTCCCTGGGCAAGACACTTATCCCCAAATTGCTCCTGTGGGGATAGTCCACAGTATTGAGTATGTAAGTCGCTTTGGATAAAAGGGTCTAACAAGTAACATCTAATGTAATGAATTATATGTATTAAGAGAGGAAAACATTTTATACACAATTGCATGTTTACATTATTTGGAACTATTTTAACTGGCTTCATTATAAATAAAGCTTTGGCATTTAGATATTACTAAATCAAAACAGCAGTGGCATTTATAAGAAAGATCACACGATTGATGAATCATTCGTTCAGTAAGTAATTTGTCTCTGTGGTCATATACTACACGGCAAGCAATAAATAAGGCCACCCTCAACCAGTATTTCAATATGTGTTTTTAACCATATTTATTTTTCTGTTTCATGTTGAATTTTTACAATGTTTTTTAAGAATACAAATAAAACACATTACAAAAAACTTCCTAACTTCGTTTTTTTCGTACCAGAACAATATCTTCAAATCCTTTAAAAAAGAATGCAAATGAAAAATGGTTCTTAGGACATCGTTTAAAGTTGGTTGCAATAATAACAGCCACTTGTGTCAGGCTGATGAAGGACCTGCAAGTGAAATGATTTCCTGTCCAGCACCTGTGACCGAGTGCTGGGCATGTTTTCTGTTTCTGCCTTTTGATAGAATCATGCATAAGGCTGCAGAGACAATTGTTTTGTCCTGTATTGAATAAATCATCAGTTTACTTCTGACTATTTTAATCAATAATGAAATAATACAACAATAGAACACAGTTGGCAACCTAACACTTAACGTGATTGAATAACACTTTGATCTAAGGATTAAAGGAAATAATACATAATGCTTGTTTCCCAGCAGGGTCATACATGTCGTTTCTTTCAGAATGTATAGCATTATATTTGAAATTGTAACCTACTGTACTGTTGCTACTAACTGAAAGTCCTATTTTTATCCCGTATTAGTTCAATTTTGCTTGCAGCAGTCATCTCACGTTTATAATGTTGGCAAAGGAAACCTGCAGAAATGAAACTTTGGCGTTTTACAACAGAAACTCCTCAGACTAATAAGTACATTTCTTATACGCAGTTGGATATTGTTATTTTATTGTTACTTTTAATCAGAACCAAAATACTTTATTTTTCTTTGGGAGAATTGGGTTTTGTAACAGTTGCTCCATTTAAGAATAAACGGAAAAAACATAAAGAAAAATATTTATTTAAACATAATAAGTTTAATTAAGAATGTGCAATTAAAAGATAACATCAAATAAAACAAAGATATTTATTTAAACATAAAAAGTTTAATTAAGAATGTACAATAAAGGAATACAAAAATATATATAATATACATATTTATGTTAACAGAGAGGTCAAAGTAAGAATGTGCAATAAAAAGATACATTAAAAGAAATATAATTATACAAACATAAGAAGTTAAATTGAAATGTCCATAAAGAGATAAAATAAAATAAAATAGAATAAAGTAAATTATATCAGATAAAAACATAAAGATATATAGATATGAACAAAACAATACTTTAATAAGAAGTTAAAGTAAAATGTCAAATAAAAGATATAAAAATAGAAAACAAAATCCAATAAATATAACAATTGTAGTTCAAATGTGCACATTGTAATATGATATATTCACCTAATATATATTTAAAACAATTCAGTAATTCAATCATTTCCGTCCACACTTTCTCCAGCATAGAATAATATCCTCTCTTTCACTACGTTTTTTTGAGACACTTCCGATTCATTTGCATTTTGCACTGGAGCACTGATGTTTGTGTGTTTGATTTCTGAGTTCAGCTTTCTAAAGAAAGCTGCAGAGATGATCAGCTTTCAATCATCCCATTGATGAATCCCCACGGTGGGAACACTGAGATGAATACAAACTATCAGCCTGTGCACTGACTTGACCCCGGCAGGCACTCAGTCATAATGCAGCTGTGTGTGCCTCCACACTCAGTCAGCGCAGCTCCAAGGTGCTCTCTCTTTTCAAAAAGCCCGTGTTGCACCCTTCTGCCTGGAACGAAAAGTACCAGACCAATTTTCTTCGCCCAACCTCTCCTGTTTGTTTACAATGACACACTGTGTTTGTATATTCAAAGTCCAATTCAGCAGAAAGTAAACAGGTATTATTAGCTGTTCTCAGTGGAACACACATTTTCCATATTAGAATTAATTTTTTCTCTTCAAATACGATGTTAATAGTTCCTGAATGTTGCATTTATAAGATGGCGTGAAATCATTTGTATTTATTTCAGGGATCTAAAATGTAGTTCAATTTTCTAAATGTTTTCTTTAATCTCTATGTAATAAAATATCAATTTATATTTGCATGTTTTGATTTACATTGTCAAATAATATTCATTAGATCACATTCATTGATCTGTAAATCTTAATTATTTGAAGAATTTCAGAACATAATCTGACAAATTTCGGTTCTTCTTTTATAAAAAATACAGTCAATACTTCAGTTCTTTTACTTTCTACTATAAATATATTACCGACTAAATAAGAAATGAACTCTTGAAAGGATTTATTTTCCCTTAAAGGGGACCTATCATGCAAAATGCACTTTTGTACGTCTTTTATACATGAATATGTGTCCCCGGTGTTCCAGGGAACTCACCAAGTGTCAGAAAACACAACCCTCTCTATTTTCCTCCATACCCAAATCTCTAAAAAAGGGGCTGCAACGGATCTGATACAGACTGATCCAGATTTGAACACTTCTATGTCGTCACAGAAGTGGCGCTACGGCTATTGGGCCAACTCTCCACCTATCAGGGGAATGTGGGGTTGGGCCACGGCCGGCCATTGCCGCTCGAAAGCGCTGGAGACGCTGTAGTACATATGCCAGGCCTGTAAGTGGCGCTGTAGTCTGCCACAAAAGCAGCGAAGAAGACTTCCCGCCCATAGTTACCATGGTTACCCTTCTGTTTATTCTCCGCTGTGGCTTTTTTTCTCCCTCCCCGAGGCAAGCGTTTGCTCCCGCTGCTTTAATTCAATGCAATCCCTCCCTGTCGAGGCAAGCACTGTAATTCTCTCCGGTTAGTCCACCAGCAGATGACAAACACCCACCTCTCCGCCTCTTCCAAGGAACGAGGGGACCGTGCGGCAGAGTTTCAGTTTCAGTTTCTTTCGCCGGTCAAGATGTCCGTTAAAGTTTAAATCTTCCGGACAAAATTAGAAAAGTGCCGGTCAAAGGTCTTCTTTGTTATTTATTTAATATTAATGAATAACGACTCTATAGGCCTATAATAATATAATAAAACCATAGACTGTATATATAAATAAAACATGGAGGACGGAGATATTTTTTTCTCCCCCTCTTGACTTGATCAGAGCACGTCTCCCCTCTCCTGCAGGGGGGCGTGGTCAGCTGCAGCTCACAGAATCAGACCCGTAGACAGCAAACAGCACATAGAGCGAAATGAGGCATGGCTAAAATGCATGATCTGTTTGGTATTTTGAAAACAGAAACGTATAAATATACCTTGTGGACGAAACTTCTGTGTAGCAATGCATGGAGTCACCGACTCAGGAAGGAGACACGGTGGGAGTTGGAGCTTTGATGTCAAACACTGATGGGTTTATTCAGAGTATTCGGCCGGAGGATTCACATCACAAATTAAAGAGTCAGAGGTTCCGACTTCACGGTAGAGTTGCCACGTCAATTCTGAAGAGCCTCTCTCTATGTTAGACCTTTTAACTGGTTCACAGAGAATCAACATCTCTGAAGGAGTAGACTAAACAGCTGGGAACACTGAGCCACCTGCGTCCGACACTCATGGCCTCAAAGATTTCACATCTTAGAGTCCACAAACACCGATAAGGAAGTGCCTCAGCGTTCTCACAACAATTACCATTCGTGCCAGACAAGTTGACCGGTCACAAACTGGTGACAACAACACATATGGCACCAATGCCTTTCCTTAAAGGAGATAACAGACGTCAGAGTAGATCATAAAACGTCACAGAGCAAAAGTTAGATATCTAGAAGAATTATTCCTTAACATACCTTATATAGGTATGGCCCTACAATATATCATTTAAATATAGCATGATAGGTCCACTTTAACTAACAGCCCTGTACAGTGAATGAGCCGCAGTAATGTGATTGGTGGATTATCTGTCCCCGGGTTAATTCATAATATCGTTATATTTTTGACCTACTATTGCAATCTATTTTCTTAGATTGTATATGTTTGTACCACCAGACACCACAGCAAATGTATTGTATGTGTAAACGTACCTGGCAATTAACTTGATTCTGATTCTGATTAGGTAACAAAGCCATCACATGCCTGCAGTGAGACCTGTTCTCCAGCAGAGGAGTGTCTCACTCCACACTCCCCCACTCTCCCGCCATCCTCCATCTGCAGCCATGTGGAAACACAGCTATGGGATGCACAGATGGAATGCAAATGGAATGCAGCGTAATCTCACTGTCTGTCATGAGACACTCTCTGATGTGTCAGTCAGACAATACACTGATGCTCAAATGTAGAAAACGTAATGATGGCAATACATCTGCATGATCTGAATCTCTCCTGGGCCACCGATACACTGCAATAAACAGATAAAAAATTGTGTGAATATATATAATAAACCATTGAACATTCCTCTGATAATATTCCTAATTTAAGCATAATAATATCACTTTTAAAACTGCACAGCTCTTCTATTTTTAATTCAGAT